CCAGGTCGTCACGCTCGGTCTCGCCCCCACTCACGGCGCCGCTGAGACCAGAGGACACACAGGGTTATGGGTTGAACTGTGCTCCCCTGAATGCACATGGCGAGGTCCCCACCTGACTCTGAGGCGTGAGTTCAGGGGGGCCACAGCTGCCAGCTCTGGGTCCTGGCTGCACAGCCAGACTGTCTGGGCTCAGGTACTGAAAAGGGTTGAGCATCCCCAATCAGAAATTCCAGAATGAGAGGGAGAGAAAGAGGAGGCAGACCCTGACAGTCTCCCCACACCCCATTCTCCCCCCAGCCTCCCAGCCAGGACCTGCTGGCACGCAAGGCCTCCTCAGCACACTCAGGTCACCCCGAGATCCAAATGTGGGCCTCCTATGTGGCTCCCGTATTGTGTAGTGGCACCCTACAGTCTGTGCCACCCCAAACCTGAACATTTTCCAGTGCCAGCATGATGGTACAAGTAGAAAATTCTATATCTGACCTCATGCAACGGGTCACAGTTAAAATGCTGCTATACAAAGCAACTGTGTGTAATTACCTTGAAGCCATGTGGCAAGGTCCATATGAAACAGAGGAAGATACTGTGTCTCATTATGTACAGCTGACCCTGAAATAACAGAGGTTAGGGGAGCTGGCTCCCTGCACTGTCGAAAATCTACAAGTGGCCAGCAGGTGGCACAGAGGTTAAGGTGGCCGAATTCCACACAGCCACCTCTGCAGTTCAAGTCCCAGACTGGGCAGCTTCAAAATCATGCCAGGTGTGTGTGTGTGTGTGTGTGTGTGTGTGTGTGTGCCCAAAATCCCAAGAGAAAAATGGAGGAGAAGAGATTGAAGCATGACCATCCCCTCTGAGGGTTATTCCTCTCTGTTTCTGTTTCTCTCCAGTGAGTACACACACTCAGTAACAAAAAATGAAAAAACAAAAACTTTAAAAAACTTTTTAAAACTGCAAAAAAAAACCTTTTAAAAACTCAAAAAAAAACAAAAACTCTATAATTTTTTTATTCTCTCAAAGCTTCTGCTGGCCAGAAGCCTTACCTAAAATAACACATATTTTATATGTTATATATATTACATATTGCATTCTTACAATAAAGTAAGCTAGAGAAAAAATGTTAAGAAATTCATGAGAGAAAATGCACTTACAGTACTGTGCTATATATATTCTCCCCCAATGCTTACTTTTAAAAAATCTGTGTATATAGGCCAGCAGGTGGCATAGAGGTCGAGGCACTGGACTCCCACATAGCCAACTGCCGCCGTTCAAGTCCCAGACCTGCTGGCTTGCTTTCTCACTTTCTCTCTCTCTCTGTCTCACTGTCTCTCTCTCTGGTGAGCACATGTGCCCTATAGCAAATTAAATAATAATAAATAAAATTTAAGAATTCTTTTAAAAAATAAATAAAAATCTGAGTATAAACAACCCCACACACTTCAAATCTGTGTTGTTCAAGGGTCACGTGCATATGCAAATATTCCAAAATCTGAAAAAAAAAATAGATAAAAAATCCAAAACATTTCTGGTCCCTGGCATTTCGGATAAGGGATATTCAGCCTGTATCGCTATTTAGTAGCTGAAGGGACTTAGGCAAGGGACTCTACTGTGCTGCACGTCCACTCCATATTTTGCAAACTGGGGATCATTGCAGACCCTGTCCGATGGCACTGTGGTGACAACTCTATTAATTAATGCATGGAAAAACCTAGACGAGGACATGGCATGGCCTGAGAGCTCAGTGAAGGAGAGACAAATTCTTTTGCTCGTTCGTAAGAGGCAGATCTAAGATTTCATTTCAAACTCTCTGTCTCTGAAAGTCATATAAATAATTCCTTCTTTGTTCTGTTGAGACTCTGCCATGGGATCTGGAAACACAATCGCAATACCGTGATTCTTCTAAGTGAAGCCCACAACCACCAGCAGCTCCCCGTAGGCTTCCTCCCCCTCCCTGAGAACATGCGGACATGAGAACCAGCCAAAAAAATCCTTCTTTAGTTCATCTTTCATAAAGAAACGTAAAAAATGTAAAACTATAAATACTTGGGCAATTCACGGTCATCTGTGTCATAGTTGATGCCATTGGTAAAAGTTGGTAAAGGGGGGTTCTCTTGTATATTTTCATGACCAAATGATGTATTCCCTAAATATTATATAGTATTCGATCAAAATTACTGTGGGCGAGACCTAGAGCGTGGTGGTTACAGTGAGTCAGATCCCACATGGCCAATTGGAGGCTTTGAAAACACGCCGGCATGTGTGGACGTGGGCCAGATCCCCACGGGATGGAGAGATGGAGGAGAAGGGGCTGCAGAAGGCCACGCCTCGTGGGGAGGGTGCCTTCTCACTTTCCCTCTGTCTGTCTGTCTCTCCCTGGCAAGCACATGTGCCTGGTTGGTAAAAAAAGAAAAGATGAAGGAAAAAAATCACTTCCTGGAAAATAAAAAAAGAACTGCTGTCCCGTATTACAGCTTGACGTCTAATAACGCAACCGTCAGAGCAGAGTCCCCTCCCCGTGGTCTGAGCAGAGCAGCCCGGGAGGCTGCACACACTGACCCACCCGCCCACTGCGCTGGGGGAACAAGCTGCCTGCCGCGAGAGCCCAGAGGGGCCATAGCACCCCCAGTCGAACCCACTGTGCTGGGGGAACAAAATGCCTGCCGCGAGAGCCCAGAGGGGCCACAGCACCCCCAGTCACAGTGAGACAGCTATGCCGTGGGGACCAGGGCACTAGAGAAAGCTGTGGAAACGTGGAATGAAAGCACGAGTTCACTTTGGTGCAAACAGTTTTTGAAAATCCAGGCACAGTTTTTTCATGATATACGTTGTCCACGAAGATTCCTTGTATTGGTTTGCCTCAAGAAAGAAGGAAATTCTGGCACATGCCACGCCAATGGATGAACCATGGCGACATAAGCTAACTGAAACAAGCCAGTCCCAACACGACAAATATCCAGTCCGCTGTACGAGGCGTTCAGAGGCATCGAATCCATAGAAACAGGTAGCGGAGGGTGGGTGCCAGGGGTTGAGGACAACTAGATGGGGGTGTTATCTCATGGAGACAGAGCTGCAGGTGAGAAAGATGAACCAGTCCTGGAGATGAATGTGGGGACGACTGCAGAGCAATGAGGACGCGCTCAACGGCCCAGAAATGTAGAAAAGCGATTGGTTAGGGCAGGCCCTGTAGCCTAGTGGTTAAGGGAGCTGGATCCCACATGGCTCACTACAGTATGAATCTCGACCCAGCAGCATGAAAAACATGCCTGGCATGTGTGCACAGGTGCCCTACACCCCAACCGGACGGACAAATGGAGAAGGGACTGCTGTGTGACCATGCCCACTGGGGGATGCTTCTTCCCTCTTCCTCTCTGTCTGCCTGTCTCTCTCTGGCAAGTGTATGAGCCCTCTGCCATTAAAAAACAAATAAAAAATCAATTGATTAAAAATAAGAAGGTAGTAAATTTTATGTTTTATTTTACCAGTATTAAAAAGATTTTAAAGGACGCCTTCAGTGCACACCCACACATACACACAAATGTAGGTTTACATGTTTCCTTTATAAAGGAGCAAACAGCATTTCACTGGGTCAGGATTAAAGTGTTAAACAAAAATAAATAACCAATTTTAAAAGAGGGGGGAGGCAGGACCAATAGATGGTTTAGTGGTTAAGGTGCTGGACTCCCACATGACCAACTGTGGTTTGAGTCTCAGACCCAGTGGTTTGAAACTGTGCATGTGAGTACGTGTGCATGCATGTCCCAAATCCTGAGAGGAGACTGGAGAAAAAGGGATATGGCATGGCCAACCCCATGGCAGGGTGGTGGTGGTGGGGGGTGATTTCTTGCTTTCTGTCTCTCTGTCTCGTCAGTGAAAGCATGCACTCTATAGCAAAAATATGTCTTAAAAAAAAAGAGAGAGGGAGGTGAAATCAGAAATTGAAAGCAACCTATTACTGTGACAGTTTAAAACTAGGAAAAAAAGCAACTGTAGGGACCAGCAGTTGGCTAAATGGCTACATCGCTGGACTGCTATGTAGTTGACCACATCATGCTGGGCACATGTGTGCATGCCCAAGATCCCGAGAGGAGAATGGAGGAGAAGGGATTGCGATGTTGCCATCCACCTTGGGGAGAGATTTCTCACTTTCTGTCTCTATCTCTCTCTGTCTTTCTGTTGAGCACACGCGCCCTAGAGCAAAAACCTCTTTAAAAAAAAAAAAAAAAGCAATTGTAAAAATACTGTATTTAATGAAATATTCCAGCAGAAAAGTCGGAAAAATCATGACACATTTTTGCATAGAGAAACATAGAAATATCATGACTTTTCCAATGACCCCATAAAGCAATCTCACCTTTTATTTATTTATTTATTTATTTATTTATTTATTTATTTATTTATTATTGTTATTATTTTCAAATTTAGGCAGTTCAAAATATAGCATTGCTTCATTTAAAAACTGAACAGTTTAGGGACAGCAGGTGACGTGGTGGTTAAGGTGCTAGACTCCCACATGGCTGAACTGAGCTCAAGTCCTGGACCCGGTGGCTTGCTTTCTTAGTCTCTCTCTCTCTCTCTCTGGTGAGTGCATATGCCCAATAGCAAATTTAAAAATAAATGAAATCAAATAATTATTTTTAAAAAAGAAGAGGTTTTGATATTTGCCTGTAGGCAGCCTAGAAATGTTTTTTATTTTATTTATTATTTACTTTTCTTAGTTTTTTTTGTCATGGGGTGTAGCTACTTGTCAGAGAGGGACAGAGACAGACAGAGAGAGGGAATGTGAGAAGTCACCCATCAGAGTGTATAGTCATCCCACAATCCCTTTTCCCCCATCCTCCTCCTGGGATTTTGGACACACAATGTACACACACCCAGCATGAGTTTCAAGCTACCAGGTCTGGGACTTGAACTGTGGCCGGCCATGTAGAAGTCTAGTGCCTTAACCACCATGCCACCTGTTGGTCCTGGGAATGTTTTTAAAAACAGCTTATTGATGTCCCAAGGCAAACATATAGTGAAGGAAGAACAATCCTCTGAAA